CTCAAGAGTTAGAAACTTACCTTATTGTGAACCGAAGCCACGACGAGTAGTGTGGGCAGGACGTATAGCCCACGACATTTGGTGGTGAACCGTGAGATTCGAACATATTTGAGAACAACGTTCATTACCCCCCCCCCCCTCCCGATAAAATTTCGCGAACACAATTAATTATTAATTAATTGAGAACGACAATCATTGCCAAGTTACTTAAGAAAACACACATTACCTTTTTTCGAGCATCCGTGACAAACCCGTGACGACCCGTGATTAGTGGGATTACAAATCGAAAATGATGTTAAATTTCAATTTGCAGAACTCCGATGTCCACCAATCTCACCATCGTCTGCAGGACGTACTACGAGAACTAACAGAGGCTCTTGTCGACCTCGCAGACCCAAATGCAAGAACGGTAGAGAAGGGAGATAAAGAAGCACGACGAAATAGGATCCACAAGTTTAAGGGAGAAAGAGGAGAAGATCCGTATTCGTAGCTGGAGAGGTACGAGGAGGTTGCGAAAACCAACAACTGGACAAGCAACGAAAAATTAGAGCAGGTATCTTATTACCTGAAGGGGTGCGCGGCGGACTGGTATGAAGTCTGCCAAGATCGCTTCTGCTATTGGAATATTAGAAGCGAGCGCAAGAGAAGTTTTGTGCCAGCCTTCCTCCGATGCTTTGTAACGCTTGAGCAGCGACGGCAGTGGCTGTCAGAGCTCGCGAAACTGAAGCAAGGCAAGGATGAGAAAGTGGCATCATATGGTTGTAAGTTTCGGGACCTACTGAGAAGAGTCGACCCCGACGATGGCGAACCTGGAAGGGATGAAGTGAGAGCGTTCGTAAGAGGGTTGAGAGAGGAGGTTGCGTCAGCGCTTGCCATCAAGAACGACGCCACGTTAGACGAAGTAATAGATGGTGCGGAGCGGATCGAAAGGGGAATGGAGTTCGGATTGAATAATATAAGCCCGAAGCCAATGGAGAGACGAAGGCCAGCGATGATCGAGAAGGAGGTCCAAATTTGCAAAGTAGGACCCCAAGAAGGACGAAAATACTTACCCAACGAGGACGGGAACAATGACACACCCTCACCCATTGGAAATATGCGGACACCATCCAACGAATCTGGCAGCGAAAAACAAGGTGCGGGCGGCAAGGCAACAAAGGACGACGAAAGAACCAGCGAAACCCAAGCTGCAAGCGAACCAAACTCGAGGACTGCAAGACAGAGAAGAAATAGAGCAAAGGGAAAATCATCAACGCTATCAAAAGATATATCGAAAGGGACAGCGTTGAAGAGACGAGATGACATCATGGCGGAAAAACGGGACAAAAGAACGAGGATAATAGTGCCGACCATGAGAGAACAATCCGCCAAGAGGAAACCAAGGGGAGACCCAGAAGGGATGTACGATGGAGAGCAAAGGCCAATCTCGGTTGGTGTAAAACAAGAGAAAAAAATGATAAGTGGAAGGGAAACGGATCAAGCGAAAGAAGGTGAAAGGGAAAAATGCATCACAGAGGGACTGACGACGATGAGTCTAAAGGAATCACAACCAGACGACGCGAACAGCGCATACTTGCCGCTAAAGCCACTTGACAAAGATACGGATTGTAGGGTGACAAAGGATATTGTCCATTATAAAGAGACAGAAGAGGAAGAAGGTTGTATCGCAAACGAGCTAGTTATCGAACTTGGCCCTACCATAGACGCATCGCGACCGGAGGAATCACCGTCCCCATTAGAAAGTGAAGGAGATAAAGAGGGAGTGACGAAGACGGGACCTACAGGTGAAAGAATGGAGGTGATGAAGATGAAGGAACAATATAGGGACACACCAAGGGAAGCGAACAGGAAAAAACCACAACCGGATAACGCGAACCGCATCGCATACCCGTCGCCAGAACCACCCGACAAAAATCTAGTAAGGGGACCGGGGCACATAGAGATATCTCGATGCATTGTCCGTGATGCTGACCAAGACGCGGGGGAGTCAACGGTACACAAAACCATAAGGAAAACGTGTACGTGGGACGATAAGACGGATCGAACATATAACTTACCTACATTGCATCAGCGACTCATGAGTATACTGTGTCGCGATTTTGTGATGGAGCTTGACGTCAACATCTCGGAGAAAAAGATCAAAGGAATCAGAGTTTCCTGCGTATCATGTGACACTAACGAGGTATCACCAACCGATACCCCACCACCACTAATAATCGCAAACTATAAATACCAACCGAATTCTGGTGAGAATCGGATCCCTAGTTCAGTCTTATGCACGGTGCGCATAAGATAGGCGCGGGGGAATGTTGTGGGTAAAAATGTAGGTGCGGTAACGTAACACACCGTCGCGTCACGTAATTAGTGTGTTATGAGATCGACGG